AGCTCCGCCACCCAAAAACCACCTCCTGTGAGAATATATTACATGGACATATCACTTCTTGGAGACCATCGTTGGAGATACCTGAGACGAATGCGGCGTCTCGGACCATTTTCAAGAAGAGAAAGAGGTTTTCCGCGCGATGGGACGAGCAGTCACGAACAACAGAAGAACAGAAGCACAGAAGGACAGAAGTCCAAGCAGCAAAACAAGCCAAGGCACAGAGCGGCCCCGCTCTGATCATTCCGCATTTTGCAGCCCGTAGCAAATTAGCTAACCCACCTCGCCCACCACTGGGCAGGCGGGGCACCAATACATTCGTTACCCCCCAATCTGCTCGGCCGTCTGCGAGGAATTACAAACGATCGAGTCCACGTGATGTCGGGGGCACTCGAACGTGTGCGATCGTCGTGTGCGCCTTTGCGTCGCTCGGCGATCTCGTCTTTGGCTGCGATCAAGGCGCCACCGGCGGTGTTCTTGTCATGCTCGTTCTAGTACACTTCCCGACTCGTGTCGACTCGAGTCGGGTTGGGGCAAGAGACATAATATATATTTTTGAATATCCCTAGGCTTGGGGTACGAAACGTCTCGTCGACGCTACCTCGTGTTTTGGCCACGGAGCGATTTTTTCGTGTGCCCTGTGGACGCAGAAGTGGGTTGCGACATGCACCGGTGAATTTGGAAAACGAATGAAAATGCACAGGTTGTCCCATTACTCGAGGACAAATGGCGGAAACGGCGACGAGCGCGACGAATGCGACGCCTCCAACTGGCTCGAGCCGCCAAAGAGCTCGTCAATGTCTTCGAGAAACATGCCTTTGGTTTCCGGGCACTTGAAGTAGACATAGACACCGGCGAGGGTGCAGAGCGCCGCAAAGAGGAAGAAGACGCCGTTGATGTTGAGGTACGGGAAGAGCTTGGGGATGCCAATCATGAGCGCGCCCATGGCCCAGTTCATCATGGTCGACGCCGAGACGGCCTTGGCGCGCACCTTCATCGGGAAGATCTCGGCCGGGTAGATCCAGCAGATCGGACCCCACGAAATCGCAAAGTTGAAGATGAAGAACGCAGTTGCAGCAATCATAGCCCAGCCCGCGCTCGTCGAGCAGTCGAGATGCGTCGTGTTGCCGTCGCAGCCGATGCTAAAGACGGTCGCCGACACCAAATGGCCGAGCACCATGCCGGCCGCGCCAACGAGGAGGAGCGTGCGCCGGCCGTAGCGGTCGACCCAGTACATGGCTGGGATCGTCGAGGCAAAATTTACAATCTGGAGAATCAAGAGCGAGAGCAAACCATCGCCGACAACGTCCTTGAAGATCTGACCGCCGTACACAAACACAGGGTTGATACCGGTGGCTTGCTGGAGGAGCTGCAGCAGCATCGCAATCGCAAGCCGCGGGCGGATCGACGGGTGCCAGAGGTCCGACCACGACGACTGGTGCCGGCCTTCGTCGTCGATCGCGTCAGCTATCGCATCGAGCTCCTCGTGGATGTTGTCGGTCTTGCGCAATAGAAGGAGTTCACGATGGGCAGCAACGCGGCCGCGCGCCTTGTACACCCAGCGGGGCGACTCGGGCACGCAAAAGATCCCGGCCATGACAATGACCGGAAAGACCATCGCAATTCCATTTGTGATGCGCCACCCGTGGTCTCTGTGCTCGAGAGCAAAATTCACAAAGCCGACGAGGACGATGCCGGTGACAACCGCCATTTGCATAAAGCCCGAGAGCATACCGCGGAGCTCCTTGGGGGCCATCTCAGCACCAAAAATCGGCAGCGAGAACGACGAGTTGCCGACGCCAAGGCCTTGGATGCAGCGCGCAATGAGCGCGACGAGATGGCTGCCCGACGGTGTCAAGACGAGGAGGCACGTCCCGACGCAAAAGAGAACACCCGCAAAGAAGATCGTCGCGCGCCGACCTAATTTGTCGGCAATGTAGCCGCCAACAAAGGCGCCAACGATGCAGCCAACGTAGTAAATGACGTTGTAGACAGTCGTAAAGTTGAGCCAGTTGGACGGCAGCCGCGCGCTGTCGGCCGTGCAGTGCAGGTATGTGTTGCCGTCATACCCGACACAAAAGTCGTACAAGAACGAGTCCATGACGAGGACGCCGCCGGTGACGCCTTGGTCATAGCCAAAGAAGACACCGCCGAGCGACGCAAAGACGCAGACGACGATCGCATACGTGCGTGAGCCCTCGGTCGGGGGCCGGGCTTTTCGAAACGCCATGCGTAGTGTACTGTAGCTGCAAAGTGCAATGTGGCCATGTGACCATGAAGGATCACTGGTCTCGTAGTCGCGTCAGCGCGTCGTCATGGTTGTCTCTTGTCGTTTCGGCAGCTTCAAGCGAGGCTTCAAGCACGCGCGTGGGTGGAGCGTGCAACGCTGCATCGTATGGCGCGGCGTGGCAACACCACCGTGTTCTTTTGTGTGCGGTTGACAAAGCCGAGAGGGAAAGTGACTTGAAAGACGCAACTTTCTGGGACCGCAGCACTCGGACGGGACCAGCATGCTGCGACTCTACCTAATAGCTTGCCTAGTCGGGAGCGAGAGTAGTATTGTAATGCCGAGAATACCACTCGGATAGACTCAGACTATTAAAATCGACGCACTGGATGGACATGTCGCTACATTTGTACTGTTGGTACTGCGCTTGGAGATGAGACGCTGGGCTGGGATGGGCATTTGGGTGCTTCCTCGTTAGAGGAAGAGGGAAAGGAGAAATAGCAAAGATTACGCACCAGAGAATTAGGATGGGATGCGTAACACGGGCGCGCAAAGCTGGTCGCGGCCATATTGGGTCGCGGCATTCGTTGAAAGCGATGTTTGCGTAGCTTGTTGGCGTCTATATTACGTGTTCATGGAAATGCACGTTGCACAAGCCAAGCAAAGCTTCAAGTTCGATGAGCAGCACCCAAGGTCCCACTTCAACGTGCAACACGTGTTTTCCCGAAAATCCAGGTAAAATCCATGGGTAAAATCAAGTCCACAGGATGACGCAGCGTGTGCTTGTCTCGATTGGCATCGTGATTGACGATTTCGTCGAGTCGACCAAAGTCCGTGTCGAGAATGCCTCTTGTGAGTGTACTTGGTAGCTCGATGCGAACTCGGCTAGCGGGGGCAAAGGCATCGGATCAGATGACCGGAGATGTAGCGTCATCCGCCCATCGTTATCAGTGTAAACGAAAGAAAGACGTAGGAGAAGCTGGTACGCTGCTATTCCACGAAGCAAGCGCTGGCACTCCCCTCGCAGTGGTCCACTCGCATCCCTACCTGTCGGTTTTATCACAAAATGCAATCGGCGGTCATGATTCTTTGTTCGCTTGACGGGTTTGACCAAAGGTTAGTTTCCGCGAGCGTGCAGCAGGTCACTGCATCGAACCCAACGACCCAGCACGCTCTAACACACTACTACGACAAAAGTTGGATATCAGGTCAGCAGATATCGTGTGAGGTCATGCAGCGACACCTGTCGGCTATATGATCCATTACCGTACTTAACAAAGTATACACTTTGGTTCGCGCCAAGAAAGTGATGAAATTAACGTTAAGAGTGGTCCATTTTCAAAATGACTGACCAATAGAACGCAAGCTAGTCTACTCTGATAGGTTGACGGCAGACTGGATCTCGAGCAGTGAAGCGTTGATGCAAACCCTCGAGTCCGTCGAGAAGCTCCTCAGCGGTCTTGCACCGTGGATCCTGGCCGTACTTTCTGAACGCTGCGGCGATGCCTTTGTTGGCTGCTTGGACAGAGTCGATCTTGCGTGTTGCCGTCTCGATCCATTCGAGGACGCTTTCGCGTGAGCTCGATGTCTCTGTTCCCAAGGCTTGGATGCAAGTAAAAGAAGATGGTGCACGCCTTGTCAGACCACGGATACGTATGACGTCGCTCGGCCGTGCGCCGAGGAGCCACCGCGGAAGAAACGTCTTCGCCCACCCACGGCGGATTAATGGCGCGAAGCTGCTTCATGGCATCACGCATGCGTTGACGGTGTCGTGCCACGTGGACGATGTCATGCTCTGACTATATCGCGGCGGTCTCGATCGTGTGCGGCGTGAGTTCGGGAAACAAAGAGGTACGCATGGTTTTTAGCCCGTCCCTGGGGTCGCGAGTTTCTCGCTGGCGCGCTTCTTGAGCACGCACCCACTCCGCGTTCTCTGGTTATTGCAAAATGAACTTCTTCGTCGAGCAAATCGAGGAATGGGCGACGCCAGCGTCGAGTGTGCTGTCTATTTTGAGAGTGTTTTTCTGAAAATTGACGCGGAGCAGCAGTGATATTTTTGTTAAGGAAAAACCACTTTTGTGCAGGGAGTTTGCCCATTCGACGAACAGAGTGAGACCTGACTTGGAAATAGTGTCATATGAATGTACGAGGATGCATTCTGTGATATAGTTTTATTGCAAACTACGACTAACGTTAGACAAACAAATGGGGAGGTTGGCTGCGCTTAGGCTTCGTCAAACTTGGGCGTCTCGATGGGCGCCTTGGCCAGCGGGCTCTTCAAAAAGAGGAGCTCAATGTCTTCGAGAAGTAGACCCTTGGTTTCGGGGCACTTGAACCAGACATAGACACCGGCAAGCGTGCAGAGTCCGGCAAAGAGGAAGAAGACGCCGTTGATGTTGAGGTACGGGAAGAGCTTCGGCACGCCGATCATGATGGCGCCCATGGCCCAGTTGGTCATCGTCGACGCCGAGACGGCCTTGGCACGAATGTTCATCGGGAAGATCTCGGCCGGGTAGATCCAGCACACGGGACCCCATGAAATCGCAAAGTTGAAGATGAAGAAGGCCGTGAACACAATCATCGTCCAGCCCGCACCCGTCGAGCAGTCCGACTTGCTGGTGTCACCGTTGCAGCCGGCCGAAAATGAGATGGCCGAGACCAAGTGCCCGATGACCATACCAGCAGCACCGACAAGAAGCAACTTGCGGCGACCGATCTTGTCGACCCAGTACATGGCAGGAATCGTCGAGAGGAAGTTGACAATCTGGAAGATGAGAAGCGACACGATACCGTCACCGACGACGTCCTTGAAGATCTGACCGCCGTACGTGAAGATCGGGTTGATACCGGTGGCTTGCTGGAGGAGCTGGAGCAAGCACGCAATGAAAAGGCGCGGGCGGATGGACGGGTGCCAGAGGTCAGCCCATGTGGCCGAGTCATGGCCCTCTTCTTCAAGGGCGTCACCGATAGCCTGGAGCTCAGCACCGACGTTCTCGGTACGACGGAGACGCTTGAGCTCGGTCTCGGCGACCTCACGGCCCTTGGCCTTGTACAGCCAGCGCGGCGACTCGGGCACGCAAAAGATACCGGCCATGACGATCACGGGGAAGGCCATTGCGATGGCATTCGTCACGCGCCAACCGTGCGTATAGTCCTGGACGATGTAGTTGATGATACCGGCGAGGAGAAGGCCGGTGACGATCGACATCTGCATGAAGCCCGAGAGCATACCGCGAAGCTCCTTGGGGGCCATCTCGGCACCGAAGATCGGCAGCGAGAACGACGAGTTGCCGACGCCAAAGCCTTGGATGATGCGCGCAATCAAAGAGAGCGTATGGTTGCCCGAGTTGGTGAGGACGAGCATGAGCGTGCCGACGCAGAAGAGGACACCCGCCGAGAAGATGGTCGCGCGGCGGCCGTACTTGTCGGCAATGTAGCCGCCGAGACAAGCACCGACGATGCAGCCCATGTAATAGAGCACGTTGTACAAGGTCGTAAAGGTCGACCAGTTGTCCGGGAGGTCGGCCGAGGCGGCCGTGCAGTTCGTGTACGAGTTGCCGTCGTAGTCGACGCAGAAATCGTTCAGAAACGAATCCATGACGAGGACACCGCCGGTGACGCCTTGGTCATAGCCAAAGAAGATACCGCCGAGCGACGCAAAGACGCAGACGACGATCGCGTACGTGCGCGAACCTTCGGTCGGTGCATCGTGGGCACCGCCGCTCGGGAGCATCGCAATACCGCCAGCCATAGTGAATGGACCGCTTGAGCTGGAAAAGGCAAAAGGAAAAGTGAGGTTGCAGCTTGAGCTTGTACAAGTGCATGGGTGCGAGGTGCTTGGGCAGGGGCAACTTCAACGTCGTCGCCACCTGGTAGCCCAATTGCTTGCGCTAGTTTTTGCTTTGACGTCGACAAGGTGTTCGCGCGGTCCGTATTACGAAGACCCTTTGGTTCCTATCACCGTGGTCCCTTCGTTGCGTGTCCCTCGCCGGCAGATGCAACCGGCTCTTCAGCACTGGCGCTTGCATTTTCCCCCGAAGTCGCAAGCCTAATTTTACACTAGCACTCTTTTGGTAGTTTGTCTACATCGATGGCCTCTTGCGATATTGATGACCGTGTGAGTTCATACCTTTTGATCGAGGAGCACATCCTACGGCCACTGCCAGCCGATGCACTCCGTCCCACGGAAATCTGATACGAGCGGTACTGGACGACAGAGAGTCGTCCACTTCGAAATCCAGTGGCCACCTAGCGCCGCTGGCGTCCCCAAGATGCTCGGAAGTGCCTTGCTTTGGTGTCGTGGTCACACACCCATCGACGCCTTTTACGTCATTTGTGATGAGGAGACTCGCCAAGACGCGTATACAGTGACGAGGGCGACATCGCAGAGCGCACCCACTTGAGATCGTTCTGAAAACACTCGGGATTTCTCTCACTCTGTGACGGGACAGTGGGATGTTGAAGTGCCTCTGATGTAGCTGGTCGCGTTGAGCCAACCCAATTGAAGGCTTCCGAAATGTCCTCAATGTATAGCCTCCTCACGTTGCGCCGTCGTCCCGAGAGAACGTGCAGCGTGTCCCAGATAAGAGCATAGGACGGTTCTTTGCTGCTTGACAGCACCAAGCGGATCGTGATGGTCGTCGCCCGCTTTGCTTGAAACTTTGGACCAGCTTATCCTGAGCTAATTCCGTCAAGCGCCACGAATACGTATTGACGTAACCGCACTAAGCCTTGCGCTTGATGACAGTGGATACGAGTCGATGGGAAGGGACCGGTGGCCTCGAAACCACTGGCGTCACTCTCAGGTCTGCTGCTCCTAGATCTCTAGGCCGCACGCTACCGTATATGAATCGTATACCTGTCCCAGGTACTCTGCGGTTTCGGCAGGTTGGCAAAACAAGGTTATCCGCCCTCGTGTCAGTCGTGGAATTTGACCATACTGCGTGTTGAGAAACGTCCACAGCACTCAATGCCTCGTCCCATCACTCGACGCTCTCTCCGCGGCGACCCTAAGTGTGCGCGCTACCTCGTTCCTTGCACACTCCCATGACACTAACGATACTCGGTTGATGCACGGTCTGCCTCTGAGTGCATTATGAAGTCCCTCCTCTTCATAATTGCGAGCTAATGACTCATTTCAATGGCACCCAAACTCTCACCCACGGCTGCCAGGACGTCGTGGGGTTGCGAAGACCAATGAGTCACCGAGCGACCGTGTTTGTACTCGACACGGACAAGAAAACGACGAAGACGGCGTGTCGTGAAGCTGCGTTTGCTCGCCAAGCAGATAGTTGCATGCAAAAATGCATATAAGTGAGTGCGACAGGCGATCGTCACGTCTGTCCAAATCGAGATCGCAACAGCTTCCTCTCATTTCGGCGGTCCGCGCCGCGTGCACTGGTGGGGGGCTGGGCTTGTGCCTCGACGACCATGGCCTGTAGCACAACGCCGATGAGATGGTTTGCACGCCTCGTCGTATAAACGAGCCCATCGATGCGGACTGCTCAGCCTTTGGATAGATGAGGATGGACATAGCCTCGTTGCAATTTCTCATTCGGCTTTCTTCTTTGGCGATGATCCGTCTCCCTTCTCTGACTCGCATGTAGCGCAACTTGCAATACCCGACCATCACCTCGACGCCTACGGTGATGTGCGTCACATATACAATATGTCATCATTCTGGAGCCTGTCGGCGAAACCGGACGGGACGACGCTGTGACAATGTGTCAGACGAGCGGACTCCACCCTCAAAAGCTCCCTCAATGTGTCAGAAGAGTACGGCAGCCGTGATTGCAACGCGACCGACCAGGGTTGCGGCCCTCACAACCTCTTTGACCAGGTCTTTTTCACATTCATACTGGTATATTTAGAGACAAGGTTAGACCGCGGTCTGGTCCGGCGTCTTGTGGGTCTTGTACGCAGGCTTCTCACCGGCCTTGGTAAAGAGCTGCTCAATGTCTTCGAGCACGAGACCCTT